CTGGCCCGGGGGTCTCTCCCCCTGTGAGCTGTGGCCACCGCCTGCCGCGCCGGTTTTCCCGCTGAAAACCGTTCCCGGGGGCCGCCGGTCCCTCCCCCGCGGGGCTGAGAGTCTGGGTCAAGGGGAGTTCCCGCCCTTTGCGCCCCTCCCTCCGCCCGGGCTTCCGCCCAAAGAGCCCGGATGGCTCCCGGCCTGGGGGTCTGCACCCCCCTCCTAGGCCCACCCCCATTTAATGAGGGCTCTGCCTGCCCGGGGAGCACAGTGTCCATGGGGAGGGCTCAGGGGGCGGACGCGGTGTCCCCTGAAGAGGTGACCTGCCCGCAGGGAGGGGCTTTGTGGGCGCGGTGACTGCGGGGGGCGGGGGCCCAGGCTGGGGGGTCAGGAGAGGGAGTGAGAGACAGACACATGGGCGGGAGGAAGGGCAGCGAGGGGTCCACAGAGAGGGGCCCATAGGGGTTGTGGGGGGGACTGGACGGGACGGTAGGAGTGAGGGGGTCACTCGGGAAAGTAGCCTGAGGAGGAAGGAAGTGGAGACACAGGGAGGAGGGGGAGCCCAGAGAGAGGAAGGGGGGCTGAGAGGGAGCGGGTCCTGGGGAGCAGAAGTGGGGCCCGCACAGGAGGAGGCACTTGAGACAGAGACACGGGTTCAGAGGAGAAGAGTTGGGGAGCGAGTGCAGGACAGAAAGGGGGGCTCAGGGATGAGGGAGCAGGGGGAGCAGCCCTGAGTCAGCAGCTGTGGGAGCGGGACAGACGGGAACAGGCAGCAGAGGGGCCGCGGGCGTGGGGAGGGGAAGACGCAGACGTGTGTGGAGATGGAGCCTCAGAGACCAGGAGAAAGAGCCCCTGAAGGGAAGGAGGTTTCAGGAGTTTCATGGTCCAGGTGTAGGACAGACAGAGAGAAAAGGGGGGGAAGCAGGGGAGGGGGGGACACAGGAAAGGACCACAGTGGAGAGAAAGGGAGCAGGAGACAGACAGATCCACAGACAGAAATACATGTAGTGGGAGGAGGGGAACCCTGATCTGGGTGAGGGGTGGGCTGATGGGGTGTGGATGGTTAAGTTGTGATATATTGGTTTGTGGGTTTTATGTGTGTGTGTATATATATAGATATTTAAAGATATTACTATTGATCTCCTGGAGGCAAGGAGAGTGAGAGAGTTAGAAACATCAATGAGGAGAGACAGTCATTGATCAGCTGCCTTCTACACGCCCCTCACTGGAGATCAAACCTGCTCGCTGGTCATATAACCTGACTAGGACTGTAACTGTGATCTCCTGGTTCACAGGTCCAATACCAACCAGCGAGTCATGCCACCTCGGTGTGCCTTTATATATTTAGTTTAGCAGCTTAATTGTCTTAGTTGTACAGATTGAATGGGACTTATAAATCTCTAGTGTATAAGGCTTGGGAATTTTATAATCATTTCCTTCCAATTGCAGCCCTCATTCACTGAGAGGGGAGAGACTTGTCTGTGGCTCCTGGGTCCCTTGTCATTTCTTAGGATGGCAACGAGGAAGTGACCTGTGTCTGTCACCTTCTGATGCTTTTTCAAGAAATATTAGAAGCCTTAGCTTTCTTTGCTGTGGTTCTGTGTGTGTGTGTGTGTGTGTTTCTTCCATGGATTTACTTTTTCTATGACTGAGACTTAATATATTATTTAAAAACATCCCGAGATAAATCCTCTGTGTCTTCTCATATCCCCTGAGGATCTTTAAGAAATACCCTCAGGTGGGCTTTCCCCCATGGAGGTGGACAGCTGCTCTGGGTGGGGCATCATTGGTGACTGAGGGCCTCCAGGTGATGGAAGGTGAGGGCAGGGATTAGCAGGAGGGGTACAGGATGCCTCTGTGAGAGTGGGGAGCAGGCTTTGTTCAGGGGAGGAAAGGGGGTGCTCTGTTTGGTGTGGGGCATCAGGACAGCAGCTCATCTTCTCGTTTTTGTAGCTGTTTGTGGATGTCTTTAGGAGGAGAGACACATGAAGACTAAATAAAACCCCTCAAAGTGCGGTCTCCATGTAGGAGCTCATTATTCCTCACTCTCTCCTGTCACCAAGGACAGGAGGGGTGGCCTTTTCCTCATTTCCAGGTTCTTCTGACTGGGTGTGAGGTGAGCTGATTGAGACTCTGTGCTGACGTCTTTGAAGGCACATTCTGTGACTCCTCAACATATCCACGCCTGAGACAACAACCCAGACCCTGATCAGGACCAGGACCAAATGGCTGCTTCTCAGGTATCAGATGGGCCCTGTGTCAGAAGCTATGATTGCTTTTCCTCTAACATCTGGTGATTTATTTCTCTATTTCTGATGTATTGCCTCTGCCAGTTGTTTTTCTTTCCTTATTTCATTACTTTATTCATCATAGTCAATGTTAGCAGTTTCTAAATTTTTCTCTCTCTTTTTGTGTGTTTCTTTTTTTCTTTTTTCTGTCTCTCTTTTTTAAAATATATTTTTATTGATTTCAGAATGGAAAGGAGAGGGAGAGAGAGATTGAAACGTCATCAGTTAGGTTAGAGAATTATAGATCAGCTACCTCCTCCACTCCAGCCTGCACTGAGTATGGAGTCTGAAACCTGGAGTGAGCCCTGACCAGGAATCCAACCCTGCTCTCCTGTTTCATAGGTCAGGCCTCTACCTCTCAGTGACACTAGCCGGGCTATAATTCCCTCCTTTGTGCCGGAGCTTTGTCTGCATTCATTTTGTCACCCTCCACAGGTCAGGAAGCATTCCTACCTTTAGTGACTTTCAACTACTCAAAATATTTCTTTTGTGACAGATCAAACTTGGACGGCATCTATGTCTAACATCCCTACTGGGATGGAGTCAGAGGCTCTGGTATAAATGAAGAAGGCAAATGCAGGTTTTAGGTTCACGTGGCTGCAGCATCAGCTCTAGATCAGGGGTAAGAAGATGCACATCTGACTGCTCAGAATAGCTCAGAAAGTTCTGAAAAGAAGGGCAAATAGAAGAGACTTGCTCATTAGATTAGTATGAGAGACTTGGTCGGTAAATGTACTGTTAGCTTACAGAACATGAGAGGTACACATGGATTGACATTTGCAAAAAGTAATGTTTATTTAAGATCATTTTCACAAATTTATGTATTTATTGATGTATTTTTAATAGTAAGGTCAGCAGTGGTGACCTGACCTTCCATGTGCCTCAGTCCACCTGATGTTCACATGGCAGAGGTGCTCCTCTCACTGTAGAGTTAATAGTCTCCCTTTCCCAGGAACAAGGGTTTAGTTGGGATTTAATGAAAGTTATACAAAGACCATCACTTCACATCTGGAAATATCCCTCTTCTTAATTTGTGTTTCCTTTGAAAAGGGAAGGTTTTACTTTTCTTTTCTACAGATCATTGGCTTTTGCATGGGAGCTTTAACTAATCAGGCTTTGATTCTTTACGTTTTTCTTATATTCTATACTCCCATCATGCACATCCCCTACATTCTCATATTTTGTATTTTCTAGAAAGTTTCCAAGAATGACATTATTATTATTTTTCTAATTGCGTAAACTATTACATATGTCTCCTTTTTTTTTTTACCCCCCCCCCCTTGACCTTCCTCTGGCCTCCCCTACCCCCCAGTGTCTTGTGTCCATTGGTTAAGAATGACGTTATTAATGTATGTTCAGTTTCATTAAATTTCTACAACATAGCTCTCCACTAATGATATGTAAAAATTTTGAAACATATGTACTAGTAAGAAAAATTAGTTCCCCCAGGCTGTTGTGGATCAGTGGTGGAGGGTTTGATTCCTGGTCCAGGGCAAGTAGCTCCTGGGTACCTGCAGTTGGCAGCCAATTAATGTTTCTGTCTCTCTTTCACATTGATCTCTCTCTGTCTCCCTCTCTACCTCTAACCTCTCTACCTCTATCCTTTTCATGCCTCTACGTCCCTGCCTTCCACTACCAAAAAGTGAGTGGAAAAAATCTCCCCACCTGAGGATTTACAACCACACAAAGGAAGCAATAGGTCTACCTTGTTTTGTATCCTTATGTTTCTCTCCGTATTGTGTTTATAAAACACAAAGGGGATCATACACAAATAGATTCATGAAATATATGCAATCACTAAAACATCTTGATTTCATAGTTATAAAATGTGTGTTTCTGTGCCTAAACTGTTAAAATCATTTTAGCTTTTTTTAAAAAAATATTTTATTGATTTTTTACAGAGAGGAAGGGAGAGGGATAGAGAGTTAGAAACATCGATGAGAGAGAAACACCAATCAGCTGCCTCCTGCACACCCCCTACTGGGGATATGCCCGCAACCAAGGTACATGCCCTTGACTGGAATCGAACCTGGGACCCTTCAGTCCGCAGGCCGACGCTCTATCCACTGAGCCAAACCAGTTAGGGCTATTTTTAAAAATATGTTTCTTTATTGAATTAAGAGAGGAAGGGAGAGGGAGGAAGAGATAGAAACATCAATGACGAGAAAGAATCATTGATTGTCTGGCTTCTGCACGGCCCCTACTGGGATCAAGCCCGCAACCCGGGCATGTGCCCTTGGCTGGAATAGAACCCAGGACCTTTCAGTCTGCAGGCCAATGCTCTATCCACTGAGCCAAACCAGCTAGGGCTATTTTTTCTTTTCTTTATTTTCAAGTGTATTTTTATAGATTTCAGAGAGGAAGAGAGAAGTAGAGAGAGATAAAAACATAAATGATGAGCGAGAATCATTGATTAGCTGCCTCCTGCACATCCCACACTGGCGATTGAGCCCGCAATCTGGTCATGTGTTCAGACTGGGAATCGAACCAGTGACCTCTTGGTGCATGGGTTAGCATGCAAGACTGAACCACACTTGCTGGACCAGGCAGAATAATCTTGTCCTAAGATTACTCATAGTAAATTTCCAACTTGGATTGTGGTTTTTATGTGTCCTATTCCATGAGAACTGAATTCCATTAACAAACCCTTTTAGTTCAAAGTTCTGTATGAATTTTTCCTTGTGTTTTCTTTTTCTGTGTATTCAGAAGTCTGGCACATGATGTGGAAACATTAGCATCACACGTAAAAAGTGAGCTTGTTACACATGTGGAAACACAGGGCCCATCTCAAAACCTGGATCAGAGTTTGTATTTTTACAGAAGTTCATTTCCTTAAGGTCTGCTTCACACTTGAGAAGAACTCCGTATACTTAAAACCAGCGTGACGTTTCCCGCTGAGAAATAGACATCACTGACCCTGAACGATGTAAATGCAGCCTTCAGAAATCTATAAGCCTGTGTCCATTCCTTAATTTTACTTTATTTTCCTGTAAAGGAAAATCTGTACTGTGGATTTGTGGACATGTGTCATCCTCATGTGTTAATGTTAGAAAACACATCACAGAACTTTACTGGGGCAAAGTGATCTTACTGTATAGTTCAGGATACCCGTTAGGTCAAAACCTCTTCTCCTAACACTGTTTTAATGTTGGGTGACATTATGAACTCTTCTCATGACCTATTGGTAACTGTGTCTTTTATTTCAGGAACGGTTGTACTTCATGGATGTGGCCATAGATTTCTCTCAGGAGGAGTGGGAATGCCTGGACCTAGCTCAGCGGAAATTGTACCTGGATGTGATGTCGGAGAACTACAGCAACCTGGTCTCCGTGGGTAAGGATGACTTCCTTCCTGAGTTCCTTCTCAACCCTCAGGGTTTTGTTTTCTTTATTATATTAACATCTCTAGGGGCTTCTGCTTTCTGTGTTAGATTCTTGCTCTCAAGGAACAAATTAAGCCCCAGCTGGTTGGGCTCAATGGATTGAGTGCCGCCTGCAGACTGAAAGGTCCCAATTCGATTCTGGTAAAGGGCCAATGCTTGGGTCCAGTTGGGTGTGTGCAGGAGGCAACCAATCAATGATTCTCTCTCATCAGTGATATTTCTATCTCTTTCCCTCTCCATTTTTCTCTGAAAGCAATAAAAATTTATATTTTTTAAAAGAGTTACAAATTGGGTATCACAAAGCAAAGCTTTGTGTTATATGTGAATTAGGAACTCAGTGTTTGCACACTTTACATGTTGTCTACACTAATTAAGGTGCTGTCAGAAAATGATATTTTAGAAAATCATTTTCTAGAATATTCTAAGATTCTACCATGTCTTCTGGCCAGAGGACAACCTGGATTGAAAATGGGAAAGCCTTTATCAAAATTCACACTCCATTCTCTTTTATTTTCTAAGATTTTATTGAATTCAGGGAGGAAGGGAAATTAGAGAGCGATAGAAACTTAAGCTGGGCATTAGTTGATGTTTTTGTATGTGCCCTGACCAGAGATTAAACCTACAACTTGGTTATATCGGTACGATCCTCTAAGCAACTAGGCTACCTGTGCAGGCAGCTTGGATTCTTTCACTTAGTTCTATTTATCTAGGCTTCTATCATATCTTTTCATGGCTTGATGTATTATTTCTTTACTAAAGGCCCAGTGCACGAAATTCGTGCACCTATGGGGAGGGTGTTACTCAGCCCAGCCAGCACCCTCTCCAATCTGGTACCCATTGGGGGTTGTCCGATTGCTGGTTTAGTTCCAATCCCACAGGGATCGGGCCTAAACTGGCAGTGGATATCCCTCTCACAATCCAGGACTGTTGGCTCCCAATCGCTTGCCGGCTTGACTGCCTGATTGCCCCTAACCACTTCTGCCTGCCAGCCTGATCACTCCCTAACCACTCCCTGCCAGCCTGATCAATGCCTAACTGCTCCCCTGCCGGCCCAGTGGCCCCCAGCTGTCCTCCCCTGCCAGATTGGTCATCCCCAACTGTCCTCCCTTGACGGCCTGGTCGTCCCCAGCTGCCCTCTTCTGACGGCCCAGTTGCCCCTAACTGCCCTCCCCTGCTGGCCTGATTGCCCCTAACAGCCTTCCCCTGCCGACCTGATCACCACCAACTACCCTCCCCTGCCAGCCTGGTCACCCCTTACTACCTTCCCCTGCCGGCCTAGTTGCCCCTAACTGCCCTCCCCTGCTGACCTGATCACCCACAACTGCCCTTCCCTGCCGGCCATCTTGTGGATGTGGGCCCCACCATCTTTGAGGGCATGGAAGTCAATTAGCATATTCTCTCCTTATTGGCTGTGGGCACCAACATGTTTGCCATGGCGTGAAGGTTAATTACCACATCCCCTCTTTATTAGATAGGATAGAAGTGAATAAGAAATCATTTGTTCGTCCTTCGGTGTATTTGTCCATTCACTTGTTGACATATCTCTTCACTGCTTCCAATTTTTATAAGTTATGAATAAACAGCCCACTTGTAGGCTTTTGGGTAGATAAAAGGTGTAACTCTTTGGTTTAATAGTAAGGAGCCCAATTACTGGATCCCATGGCGAGTGTATAGTTAGTTTTATAAAAACCTCCCGACCATCTCCGTAAGGGTCTGTAGCATTTGGCATTTTCAGCAGCAGTGATTGGAGTTCCAGTTGCTGCACATCACAAAGGCAATTTGGTGGGGTCAGTGTTATGTATTCTGATCTGTTCAATGGTGGTTTAGTGTTGCTTGCCTTTGCTCTTTGTCCCTTCTCATTGTTATAATGTACATTTCCTTAGTGACATAAGACGTGCAGGGTCGTGTTGCACTGATTTTCTGTGTGTATATATTTTGTAGTGCTGTGTGTTAAGGTGTTTGGTCCTTTTCAAGTTGTTTTGTCAATGTTGAGTTTGAAGACTTCTTTGTCTATTTTGCATAATTGTCCTGTACATGTTGACTTTTTTTATTAATATACCATATATATACTCTATACCTGGTGCACAACATTTGTGCATGGGTAGTGTTCCTAGGCCTGGCCTCTCGGCCTCCTCTTTTCCTCACTCCCTCAGAGCCCCACCACCTCTGCTGGTCACCCGTCATATTTCGCACCGCCCCATGGTGATCATCACATGTTATAGCAAGCGATGGAACTGCACTCCAGGTCAAACTCCCAAGTGGACAATATATAGATTTTTATTGATTTCAGAAAAAAGGTGAGAGACAGAGAGAGATAGAAACATCAATGGTCAGAGAGAATCATGGATCAGCTGCCATGTGCCCTGACTAGGAATTGAACTGTGACATCCTGGTTCATAGGTCAATGCTCGACTCCTGAGCGGTGTCAGCTGGGCCATGTTGACTTTTACAAATAATATTTTCTCAGTCAGTGGCTTCTTGTTTTTTCTGTGAAGGATGCTGTTTTTGTTGTTGTTGTTTTTTTCTTTAATGTTTGTGTTGATACTTTGGGAGTTTTCATTTTAATACAATGGATTGAAATACAAACCTGGTTATGTATTTGCCTTTCAAAAATATGAAGTGTATAAAAGTAATGTAGTTTTATATTCAATAACATGGAAGTTATATTTGCAGCTACAGTGTCATTTCTAGAATAAACACATAGTGAGTCACGTCTTGAAGGAGATGAGTTATAAATTTTGTTGCCTTACGTGTCAAATCAAATGAAATCTTTTATTTCAAATGGTAGACCATCAATAAAAAAAAATAGTCCTTTTATTCCAGTCTGATATCTTCATTATTGCAAATAGTGCTAAAAGGATATATGGGTGGGTATATCTGTTTTTATTCGTGTTCTCTGTATAAATTCCCAGAAATGGAATTGCTGTGTTAACTGGTACTTGTCTGTAAATATTGGAAAACCCTCCATCGTGTTTTGTGAGTGGCTCCACGAATCTACATATATCAAAGCCTAAGCGACCGTTATGCCTGGTCCTCTGGTTGCTATGACGACCACTGACCACCAAGGGTAAGACACTCAACGCAGGAACTGCCCCCGGTGGTCAGTGTGCTTCCACAGCCAACCTCCCTGAGCTAGTCACCCTCCCGTGATTCCTCCCTCGAGCCTGCCCAGTGGTCCATGTGCTCCCATAGCCAACCAGCCTTGGTCGGCCAACCTTCTGCGAGCCTTCCTCCTGGCCAGTCAGCCCTGATTGCCGGCAGCACGAGGAACCTCACCTGTGCACAGATTTGTGCACTGGTGTGTTTATAATCTTGCTGACAATGCACGATTGTTCTCATTTCTCCACTTCATTGGTGATACTTGTCGTTTTTTGATTTATGGATGATTGGCATCTTGTTAGGTGTTTGGTGGTATTTCATGGTGATGTCCATTTTCATTTCTCTGATGCTGAAGGGGTTGAATGTCATTTAATACCAGTATGTTTATTGTGCATCTTTACGTCCCGTTTGGGAAATGTCCGCTCAGGTCCTCTGCCCATTTTTCAGTCATGTTGTTTGTCTTTTTGGTGGTAAATTGTGTGAGTTCCTTATATATTTTGGATCTTTAGCTTTTGAGGATGTAACATTCCTGGGTTGTTATTTTGTGGTTTCTTTTTTATTTTATTTTATTTTTTTAAAAAATATATTTTATTGATTTTTTACAGAGAGGAAGGGAGAGAGATAGATAGCCAGAAACATCGATAAGAGAGAAACATCGATCAGCTGCCTCCTGCACATCTCCCACTGGGGATGTGCCCGCAACCCAGGTACATGCCCTTGACCGGAATCGAACCTGGGACCCTTTAGTCCGCAAGCTGACGCTCTATTCACTGAGCCAAACCGGTTTCGGCTTGTGGCTTCTTTTGGTATGCCAAACTTATTCTTTTGTAGTCTCATTTCTTTATTTTTTAGCTTCTTTGTTATGCCTAGGAAGATATATGCAAACCAATATTTTTAATAGTGATGGTAAAGTTCATTGACTATGCTTTCTTTCAGTGTCTCCATGGTTTTAAGGCTGATATTTTATTTTTTTTGATTACTTTTTTACATATATTTCTTTATTGCTTTTAGAGAGAAAGGGAGAAGGGGAGAGAGAAAGAAACATCAATTATGAGAATCATTGATTGGCTGCCTCCAGCAGGTCCACTATGGGGGATTGAACCCGCAACCCAGGCATGTGCCCTTGGCCGGAGTCGAACCTGGGACTCCTCAGTCTGCAGGCCAACGCTCTATCCACTGAGCCAAACCAGCTAGAGTGGTCTGATATTTTATTTGTTAATGCATACTGGGTTCATTTTGGTTCATGGCCTATTTAACTGGATCTACTTTTAGTAGGAACAGAGCTAAGTTCATTGGTTGGTTTTATATACCATGTTTTGAGAAATTAAATATATATACATCTATCTCTATATACATATCTACACTAAAAAAATAGAAACATGTAAATTAACCATCACTCTGCCACTCTGCTACACCCACCAGCCAATTAGAGCCACTATGCAAATTAACCCAACAAAGATGATGTTTAATTTGCATACGGAGGCAGGGAGTGAATACTGAAGATGACTGAAGATGGCAGCGACCTTGGAGCTGGAGGGAGCAGGAGGCTTGGGTTGCTCTTGGTGACGGAGGAAGCCAAGCTTCCCACTGACCCAGGAATGGGCTCAAGGAATGGCTGGGGGCCTGGGTCGCCAGGGGCAACCCAGGCTTCCAGCCAGCCCTGGCCTCTGCTCGAGGAGCTGGGGGGAAAAAAAGCAGGGGCTGGGAGCAGCCGGAGCGGAGAAGCCACTCCTCGCTGATGCGGCCAGACTAAAGGCCTGGGTCCTGGGTGCCAGAGAAAAACCGGTGCCGGCATAGCTGCCACTCCCGCCATAGCCACTGCCCTGGTTTCCATAACCCTGTCTACCACTTCCATAGCATCTGCTTCCTCCAGAGTAACCAAGGCCGCCTCCTACATAACTACCATCATTACCAAATCCATTATAGCCATCCCCACTGCCACCATCCCACCACCACCACGGCTGCCACCAAAGCCTCCTTGACCACTGAAGTTTCCTCCACGACCAAAGTTGTCGTTTCCACCAAAACCACCTCCACGACCACCTCCAAAGTTTCCAGAACCACTTTGACCTCTTTGGCTGGACGAAGCACTAGCCATCTCTTGCTTAGAGCTTTCCTGCACAGTTGTGGCCATTTACAATATGGTATTTTTGAATGACAATCTTGTCTAAAGAGGCATGGTCGTCAAAGGTTACAAAAGCAAAGCCTCTCTTTTGCCATTGCCTCGTTCAGTCATGATTTCAATCACTTCTATCTTCCTATACTGTTCAGAATAATCTCTTAGGTGATGTTCTTCAGTGTCTTCTTTAATACCACTAACAAAAATCTTTTTCACAGTTAAGTGGGCACTAGGTCTTTGAGAATCTTCTCTTGAGTCAGCCCTCTTTGGTTCCACCACTCTTCCATCCACCAAGTGTGGCCTTGCCTTCATGGCTGCATCTACCTCGTCCACAGTGGCATAGGTGACAAACCCAAAGCCTCTGGAGCGCTTGGTGTTTGGATCTCTCATCACCACACAGTCCGTGAGTATTCCCCATGGCTCAAAATGGCTCCTCAGACTCTCAGCAGTTGTTTCAAAGCTGAAACCTGCGATAAAGAGCTTCCGCAGCTTTTCTGGCTCTGGGAGACTCAGACTTAGACATGATGACGGCAACAGGGGAAATTCCAATGATGCTTACTCCACGGCGTTCACCAGCAGAAAAAAGCTGAAAATTTGTTTTCTTTCAGCTATGTCATCTGATGACCTGGCCTTTATGTCCAATACCAGAATACAGGATTTATTCTCTGAAATGATGCTGGTAAGAAATGAAAGGTGTCGCTTTCATAATATACACTTAATGAAAGTCTTGGCATTTGAGTAAGAGTGTGGTGAGGAAAGAGGTTATTAGTATAAACAGAACTAATCTGGAACAGTTCTCATAATAAAATTGTTGTTACCTAAAGAGGTGAAGTGTATTATGCATTTGGGAAACCTTCCTCTTTAAAGTGAGTTACACTGGCAGATCAGTGTGTTTCTGCACGTGAAGGTTGAAAACAACTTTTAATGTTATGCATTCTTGGAAAGAAAATCTGGATAAAGTAGGAGTTCACATATTCTGTAGTGTATATAATCATTTGAATTTTTAAAATGTAGGATGGATTAAATTTTCATGCAATAATTTCTAAAATGTAGAGATTTACAATATACCTCTAAAGTTTAAATATTCGCAATTGGGCAATCATCATCATCATTATTATTATTATTATTACTACTACTAGTGTCCTGGTGCACAAATTTGTGCACCGATAGCGTCCCTCAGCCTAGCTTGCAGGATGGGGCTGAAACTGGCTCTCCGACGTCCTCTGAGGGGTCCCGTATTATAAGAGGGTGCAGCTCAGGCCAAGGGACCCCACGGGTGCATGATCGGGGCTGGGGAGGGATCCAGAAGGTTGGCCAGCCGAAGAGGGACCATGGGAGGACTCCAGGGTGTATCCGGCCCATCTTTTTCAGTCCCGATCTACGGACGCCAGCAGCAAGCTAACCTACTGGTCGGAGCATCTGCCCCCTGATGGTCAGTGCATCTCATAGTGATCGGTTGAGTGGCCTTAGCATATCATTAGCATATTATGCTTTGCTTGTCTGAATGGATGACCAGGGGACCAGACACTTAGCATATTAGGCTTTTATTATATAGGATTATTATCACTTTTAAATATATTTTTATTGAATTCAGAGAGGAAGAGAGATGGAAACATCAATGATGAGAGGGAATCATTGATTGGATGCCTCCTACACGCCCCCCACTGAGGATGGAGCCCGCAACCTGAGCATGTGCCCTTGACTAGAATCAGTCTGCTTGCCAAAGGTCTATTTACTGAGCCAAACCAGCTAGTACTTTTATTATTATTTTATTCAAAATATATTTTTTTGGATTCAGAGAGGCAGGGAGATGAAGAGAGATAGGCAAATATCCTTGATGAGAGAGAATCATTGACTGGCTGCCTCCTGCATTCCTCACACTGGGGACTGATTCCAAACCTAGGGCTTGTGCCCTGATGGGGAATGGAACTGACCTTCTGGCTCAAATTTTGATACTCAACCATCGAATCTTGCTGGCTCAGCAATTGGGCAATCTTTTTTTGGTTGTTCTTATATATTTTATTGATTTTTTTATAGAGAGGAAGGGACAGGGATAGAAAGTTAGAAATATTGATGAGAGGGAAACATCTGTCAGCTGCCGCCTGCAAACTCCCTATTGAGGATGTGCCTGGAACCAAGGTACATGCCCTTGACTGGAATCGAACCTGGGACCCTTGAGTCCGCAGGCCACCGCTCTATCCACTGAGCCAAACAGGTTAGGGCTGGCAGTCTTGTAAACAAGAATTTATTCTTCCTCTGACAATTATTGTTTTGTATTTAATTTTGTCTATAATTTTAATAAATTAGGAGAGCTTTTTTTACACAACTATCTTCGTTTAATGAGTATCACAAAATGGTTTCTTTTGGAATAGTGTACATGTTTAATGAAATTATAACTGTCAGTAAAGGTCTTTCCATCTCCCATTACTACCAGAGTACACATAATGGAGACAGAAGTTATCAATGGAATGAAAATTGGGGTAAAGTTAAGCAAGAGTCATATCTTAATCATCGGAGAAGCGAGTTTGCAGAGGAGCATTATAAAAGTGGAAGAGTCTGTGACCCAAGGTACAATCACAAAATACGTGAGGTTATTCCTATTGTCGAGAAGACACACAACGGAAATAAATGTGTCCAGTCTTTTCAACAGTCTTCAAATTACACTGAACAAGAGAATATTCATCCTGGGGAGAAAGCTGACAAATGGAATCCTCGTGTTATAATCTCCAGTCAAATATTCAAGAAAAAAATTAACAGTGGAAAAAAATCTTATAAATGTAGAGAATGTGGTAAAGGATTCCTTTCTGCCTCAAACCTGAATCGACATCAGAAAATTCATAATGGAGAGAAACATTACAAATGTAGAGAATGTGGCAAAGCCTTTATAACGTTCTCACACCTTATTACGCATCAGAGAGTTCATACTGGAGAGAAGCCTTATAAATGTAGAGAATGTGGCAAAGCCTTTTGTGATTCCTCCTCTCTTAATAGACATCAGAGAATTCATACAGGAGAGAAACCTTATAAATGTAGAGAATGTGGCAAAGCCTTTTGCGATTACTCCTCTCTTAATAGACATCAGATACTTCATACAGGAGAGAAACCTTATAAATGTAGAGAATGTAGCAAAGCCTTTAGTGGTTACTCCTCTCTTCATCATCATCGGAGAGTTCATACTGGAGACAAGCCTTATAAATGTAGAGAATGTGGCAAAGCCTTTAGTTCTTCCTCCTCTCTTAATCAACATCAGAGAGCTCATACTGGAGAGAAGCCTTATAAATGTGGAGAATGTGGCAAAGCCTTTATATCTTCCTCCTCCCTTAATCGACATCAGAGTGTCCATACTGGAGAGAAGCCTTTTAAATGTAGAGAATGTGGTAAAGCCTTTAGACTGTCCTCACAACTTGCTAAGCATAAGAAAGTTCATATTGGAGAGAAGCCACATGAATGAAGAGAATGTAGCACATCCACTGGCAGCTCCTCAAACCTCACTACACATCAGAGAGGTCATACTGGATAGGAGCCTTATAAATGTAAGCATGTAACAAAGCCTTTAATCAGTGTTTATGCCTTATTGTACAGCAGAGTTCATACTTGAGAGAAGTATTACAGATATGTGGAGTGTCATAAATCCTTGACCAGCAGTGAGAACTTACTGAACATCACAGAATTCTGACTGCGAACAAGCCTTATGAATGTGAAAAATGTAGTAAAGCCTTTGAAATCCATTCATGTATTACTATACATGGGAGACTTCATACTGAAGGAGAAACCTTTAACATGCAGAGCATGTGCAAGATCCTATCCCTATGGATGTAATGGATATCAGATTCTTATAGTGGGGGAAAGCTTTAAACTATACAAAATGTGAGAAAGCACTGACTGGCTTGCCTCAGTGGTTTAGCTTAGATCAGTGGTTCCCAAACTTATTTGGACTACCACCCCCTTTCCGGAAAAAATATTACTCAGCGCCCCCTGGAAATTAATTTTTTTTATTTTAATAGCAATTAAACAAAGATATACGTATTAATGTTTCTACCTTTTTCGTAAAATATAGTAAAGAAAGGTGTAAATTAGAAACATTGAAGTTTGAAATTATGAAACTATTTATTGAACTCAGAATGGAAAGGTAATACAAAAAAAGTTAAAACAAATGCACCTGTGGCCATCACCGCCCCCCCTGGATCGCTGCAGCGCCCACCAGGGGGCGGTAGCGCCCACTTTGGGAATCACTGGCTTAGATGTATGAACCAGGAGGTCAGGGTGCAATTCCTGCTCAGGGCACAAGCCCCAGTTGGGTGCTCAATTCCAGGTGTGGGTCATACAGGATCCAGCTGATCAGTGATTCCCTCTCATCATTGATGTTTCTATAGCCCCATCTCTTTTCCTCTCTGTGCTATAACGATGGCATCTAAACTTCTTCCTCCCCCACATCAGCCCTTCAGGCCCCCGTAGCTTCTGTTCAGTACTTTGGAATTTTACTAATGATGTAACTGACATCAGAATTTGGCAAATACGTAACTTTACATTCATGAAGTAGGAAGCCCACCATTGTATTTTTAGCAGGATTCTAAAGTTTTGAATATTATTAATTTTTGGAATATAATAAATTGGCTTCTGTGTACTTTATAACTGGAGTGATTTTTCTTGTCCTGATTTTCATTGAAATCCTGAAGAATTTCTCAGTGTAACCTCATTAACTTTTTTCTTGGGGTAGAATCAACCGGCGTAAAACTGATTTTATTCTCAATTACTTGAATGTAACTGAATGCTGGTCATTCTTTCTAGAGGAACAGCAGAGACCGTGGCAGATTTGCAGTTGAAGAATTTTATTTTGCATCAAAAGTTATTTTGCATAGTGATAGCATGGCCACAGGTATGTTTTGTCTCGGCTACTGCGCATGCTCAGCCTCTTGGCCCCGCCCCTGCCCTAAAGCTCCCCTCAGGCCACGCCCCTGCCGGGTGGGGTTTTTTTTTTTCTTTGCTGCAAACCAAGCGGAAGCCAGACTGAGGACCGGTCCCGCCTCTGCAACGATTTCCTTCGGCTGTCTCTCGGGCCTGCGCATGCGTGGCTCCTCACTAGGCCCCTTACTAAACATGCAGGCCAGTTCCATCCAGATTTTTTTTTTCACCTGCAGGTGGTAGCAGCGCAAGCGACGCCTCTCCAAGCCCCGCCCCTCGCGCGAGCCCCGCCCCCGGGACGCCTCTTACCCTCCGCCGCCATCTTGTAGGAGCTCGGAAGGTGGGAGAGACGTCCCAGGTCACACTGTGGAGCGTGAGTTCGTCTTTCTACTTTCATGACCGTCCCCTCCTCTCCGCCAGCCCTAGGGGTCGCCCTGCACCTTGACGTCCCCGCAGGCGGCCCCGTCCTCCGTGTAAATGTAGGCGGCGCCCTCCTCAGAGGCCCGGGCACTTCCCTTGGCGTTTAAAATGGCGCCTCGCCCTAACCGGTGTGGTTTCGGCTCCTCAGGTTTGTTTCCCCGGGTGTCGCCTGACACCGGAAGGGGAGTGTTGGCTCTGCAAAGGTTCCTACCGCTGGTGGGTGTGTGTGTGTCCACCCGCGCACAAGATTTGAAGAAAAGGGTGGGAAGGGGCCCCAGCCGCTTTGGCTCAGTGGATAGAGCGTCGGTTCGATTCCGGTCAAGGGCATGTACTTTGGTTGCAGGCACGTCCCCCGTGGAGGGTGTGCGGGAGGCAGCTGATCCATGTGTCTCTCTCATTGCTGTTTCTAACTCGATCCCTGTTCCTTCCTCTCTGTAAAAAATCAATAAAATATATATTTTTTTAAAGGGGGGGGCTGGGAAAACTCACTTGTCTCTGCTGTTTACTGCCCCTGAGCCCCTCCTGTGGCCGTGAGGAGCAGACCCCGTCTTTTCCACACGGTGAGGTCAATCCTGTGGATGGCGGCGGCGCAGGAAAGGGGGTGTGTTGGTAAATGGCATACTTTCATCTGTCCATTCGCTGCTAAACTCTCTTGTTGCCCAGGCAGAAGCCCAGAAGAGGAGGAAGAGGAAAGGGTTCAGTAGTGGCTGTTTCTCAGGTAAAGTCATATTCTCAGTGGGTTATGTCCGTCCTTCCTGAATTGCCCTTTGACTTGTTGATATTCTCTGACCGAGTTGTCCCGCCTGACATTTGTTTGTTCACACTCAACCCGGGCCTCCCCTCAGTCCCTCTCATCTTAACTTAAATTCTATCCCACCATGATCCAGTGACATCAATTTTTTATCAACCCGGATAAAAGAACATGCCGATAGGCCAGCTGGTGTTGCTCCGCAGTTGAGCATCCAAGCAGGAACCAAGAGGTCACATGTTTGGGTCTGGGCTTGGTTCCTGGTAGGAGGCGTGCAGAATGTTTCTCTCTTTCTCTTTCTAAAAATCAATTAAAAATTTATTTTTGAGCCCTGATTGGTTTGGCTCAATGGATAGAGCGTTAGCCTGGGTACTGAAGGGTCCCGGGTTCGATTCCAGTCAAGGGCATGTACCTTGGTTGTGGGCACATCCCCAGTAGGGGGTGTGCAGGAGGCAGCTAATCCATGTTTCTCTCTCATCGATATTTCTGACTATCTCTTTCCCTTCCTCTCTGTAAAAAAATCAATAAAATATATTTAAAATTATATATATATATATATATATATATATATATATATATTTGAAAAGAACATGTACATAAGAGTCACATAATAATACGCACAAATATTTAGTAAGTTCTGGTGAAGAGACCAATAAGCAAAAATATTTCTGTGTTGATAATACATTTGAAGCTAAATGAACGAATCATGCCATTATCAATTTTACAATAGAAAGTCAACAGAAATGTATGACAGTGGGAGGTTCTTTGGGTCATTTTTATCACATTAATTTTTTGGAGGTTACATTATTACCCTGTGCATTAGGTTCTTTGAGACAGAGAAATCTTTATGTTTGTTGCAGTTTGGGTTTATTTCAAGGCATTTTCTTATGTTCTATTCCTTTAAGTATCTGTGTTAATATGCTCTTCAGTCTAAAAAGGTGAAGCCTCTAACGTTCTTTTATTTGAAGAAAGTTTGGCCTCTGTTAGATCCCTTTGCTTGCTTCCATATGAATTCTAGTTTTGTTTTGTTTTTTAATGCAAAAAGATTTATTTGTCCACACACACCAGTGAAGGAAGGCAGTCTTCTGTCAAATGGAGATTAAGATTCTTAAATGGCTGATTTTGGGACCTACTACAATGGGAAGACTTGCTTTGCTGCCTTCAGGCGTTAGGTCTGTTTACCTAACACTACAGCAGGCTTTTTCATTGGGGCTTCCTCCTCCTGGGCCTGATTTTCTAACTCCTTATGATATACTAGCTGGTTTTGCAGGTACTTAGTGTTACTCTTCTGTTCATCCAGGCACTTTCCCATGAAGCATGAGACATCATATTCATTGTTGGCAGAAGCTATGTTCTTCAGGTCTAGCAAGAGCTAGCTTGCTTGTTCTCCAACTCCAGGACAGACTGTAGAGCTTGTGTGCCAATTCCCCAGTTATCTGTTTCTTAGTCACTGGAAGGCAGATATTACTCTCACATCCTGTATCTCAAGAATTGCTTTCCATGTTCCCTCTTCACCTCAGCTTGGTCTTCAAAGAATGCAGCAAAACAAGGTTCTCCTAGGCCTTCAATGTAATAACAGGCCATAGATAAATGAGCATCACTCATGTGCAACTCATAAGATGCCACGTGATTAATAGCAACCCTACAGTCTTCAGAGAGTGGGTGCTTGGCTGCCATCTCAGCTTTGGAGAATACCAAGCATAAACAGTGTTCTAATTTTTGATGTTTTTATTTCTGCCAAATTGCCCTTGTAGAGTGAGAGAGAGAGAGAGAGAGAGAGAGTGTGTGTGTGTGTGTGTGTGTGTTTTGTTAATCCTCACCCTGAGGATGTTTTTCCATTGATTTTTTTAGGTAGAATAAAAGAAAGGAGGGGGAAAGAAAGGAGGGGGGAGAGGAGAGAGAAACATCAATGTGAGAGAGACACATCAATTGGTTGTCTCTTGCACCAGTCAGGCACTGTGCTCTTGATGGAGAATTGAACCCAAGACTCTCTGGCCAATGCGCTAACCATTGAGAACACAGGTTAGAGCTGACTTGATAATATTTTAATATATATTTTTATTGATTTCAGAGAGGAAGGGAGAGGGAGAAAGAAACATTAATGATGAGAGAGACTCATCGATTGGCTGCCTCCTGCATGTTCCCTACTGGGGATCGAGCCCGCAACCCCTGTATGTTCCCTGACAGGTAATAAAACCCTGACCTCCTGTGAAGTCAACCACTGAGCCACAACGGTCGGGCTAAATCACATATTTTTATGTAGTCAAGTTTATTTGCTGCAGTTTTCCCATTTTCTTCCTGAGCTGTTTTGTTACCGTCATTATTCTATGGTATTTGATGGGTCATGTCTCTGCTTGGGCATTTGTGGAAATGAAATAATGCTTTTTTTTTAAAAAAAAATATTTGAACCCTGGTCAGGTGGCTGAACTGGTTTGAGCATCATCTCATACACTGAAAAGTTGCTGCTTTGATTCATGGTCAGGGCATATATGTAGGTTTTGGATGTGATCCCTGTTTGGGGCCTCTAAGAGAGACAACTCATCAGTGTTTTTTCTCACATCAATGTGTTTTTTTTTCTCTCTCTCTCCCTAAAATCAATAAGCAGATCCTGGGGTGGGGACCAAAAACAAGTATTTGACATTTCAGTATTTAGCAGGTTGAATGTAGAGATCTTTCTCTTGTTTTCCAATAGGTAGCACTGAGGCACATGTTTTTATTTTATCTTCCTTTACTGCTGAGACTTCTGTTGGGTGCTGTTGCGTTGGCTGTGGAAAATGCCCTGTATTCCCTAGGGAGGTGGGAATGCCCACTGTTTCCAGGTCACCTAGGCCTTCAATGTAATAACAGGCCATAGATAAATGAGCATCACTGATGTGCAGCTTGTAAGATGCCACATGATTAATAGCAACCCTACAAACTGTACCACCTTCGTGGGGGAATGTTGTGG